CCCGTCCGGCACGCCCTCGGACGAGTGTGGCCTGCCGCCGGATGGTGCGACTATTACCCAGGGTGAGAGTACATGGCAGTGGAACTATGGCATGTCCAATAGCGAACTGGGGGTTTTGTACGTCAACTATTTTTCTTTTTCTTTTTTTTTTTTAAAAAAAAAAAGAAAAAAAATTCAATGACTTTCTTTTTGTTCAACGCAAGAGAAAAGAAAAAGAAATACAAGACTGACTAGGCATCAGCACCCAAAAAGCCAACTGCAAGCTCGACCCGTCCAAGGATGTCGCCGCCTGCAGCGTCGAAATCACCGAGGGCTCGCAGGTGACCTCTTCCGAGACCACTGAATCCGGCTACAAAACGTCCATGTTCCCCGTTACCATCACCGCCGGGGCCGATAAGCTCTCTGCCTCTCCCCGGGCGAGCGCCACCAATGGCGGATCCAACAGTGTCTCCGAGACGGCTGCTGGCAAGACTACCCAAGCGAGCAAGACCTCTAGCGCTGGAGAGGTCGGCAAGCCGGGTGAAGCGGCAGCAACTTCCACCACTGGTAAGAACGCCGCGCCGGCTGTGACGCAAAATGCCGTTTTGGCTGGCGTTGCCGCTATTGTGGGTGGTGTTTTGGCCATTTGAATTGGTCGAGGTGCTGGTTCAGGTAAACGAGTTTCACGTCATCAGACGGCCGTATTTAGTAGCGACGCAGGTGTATGGCGTTGCTGGTAATGAATTGGTCTCAGCAATTTCCTCGAAAAGTGAACATGACTATAAACAAACTCATCATAAGCCCGAGATGAAACAGCAACAAGTTGCAAAGTCGCCGTTTCAAGTCGTATCTCGCAAACAGGTCCGCGCCCAAGTGAATTGCAAAACACACGCAGTCAGTAATCAACGCCAAACACAAACCGTTCGACAACCTATATCTCATCAAACCAATGCCAATACAGTCGCCGTGATGAAAGCGTTGCATAGGTATGGTCGTGTCGCGTCCGTACATTCAAAACCCGTTTCTCTCCTCACGCCCATCTTGCCAGCTCGTACAATTAAAACACCGCAAGCACTGCAGACACACGTTAGCATCACCTCGAGCTAACCAACAACGATCCCCGACCTAGAGCCCGACTTTACCTTCTCATTGATTCGCTTTCGACAATACTTGCACTTCTTGGTATACTTGATAATCGGATCATGCGATACCAGGGTGTATATGTGCGCCAGCCCATACAAGGCAAACCCCACCATGATGAACGAGACGACCTGGTATATAAACGACCCGTAGGCCATGACTACGGCGCCGTCGTCCAACGCCTGGCGCAGCGTGTTGTACCCCGTCGTGCTGTTGTACGTGTCTCCATGTCGGAGCACCGCGAACTTCTCCTCGATGTTCTTGTTGACGGGGAACACGATGGCAAGAGGGGGCATGAGGATGGCGCTGACAAAGGACTTGATGAGGTCGGTGAAGATGTTGGCGATGCTGCACGGCAATTAGCAGGGCTGAGTGAGCAAAGGAAAAGACTTTTGAAAGGGGTCAGCACATTAAGCCGAAGGCGATTTGGAGAATGTTGCCCTGGAAGGCAAAGTCGATGAAGCCATCAAAGAAGCGCTTCACTCGATGCCGGCTTCGGCCGAGGAGCGATTCAGTTTCGCCGTTGACATTTTCGACGTCGCTGGGCATTTTTTTCTCTTCACCCTTCTTCTCCCTACCCTGCTCTGTGAACCTTTTTTTCGGTGCAGGATTATCCGCGAGTGATGCTTGCAAGGTTTTGTGTGCCAAATAAAAAAGTGAAGGCGAAGCGGCAAAAAGGAAACCGAGATTGGAGTGAAACATGAGGCTACACCTTGGGAAGTGGAAGCACAAGATACTCTGCCCCACCTCTAGCTGGGCCATTCATTGTTGGGCCAAACAGGCTGAATTGAAACCTGCATGTGAGTTTTCTGGCTTCCCAATCTCCTCCTTCTTGCAATTAGGCATGGAGGGTCGATTATCTAGCACAAGGACGAGCTCTTAGGATGGCAGTCATTTGGCCAGCTACGCAGAGGGATCAATTGCTCATATGCGAAGTGCGAAACAGACACTGCAATAATTAAGTCAAAAAGTCTACATACTACCTGCTCAGATAAGGTACCTAGGCAGTTAAATAGAGTGTATTGAAGAAACAAATGTAAAAAAAAAACACATCAAATAATATTGGTTAAGAGACTGATATGAAATAAAGTCAAAAAAAAAACATAAGAGTGGAGAAACGGGGATTTGAACCCCGGACCTTCTACATGCAAAGCAGACGCGATAACCCCTACACTATTTCCCCTCTTATTATTTATGGCGACTTTATTTACCATTAAGACCCAAGTCCTTCGGCTACACACTTTGCCAAAACCGAGCTTCTTATCGAAACACTTGGTAATATGCTCAGCGAATCAATCCATTTTATCAACAATATTTCTCGGAACATCTTTCTGCGAAATTCCCTCTCGTCTAATGCTTTCCACGGTCTATGCGTTTAGTATTGCCAACGGATACAAGTGCTTCTAAATTGTTCAGCATTAGATGGCGTTCTTCCTGCAGCCGGTCATGACCCCGGCTGCACAGCTAAATCCTCCTTCGTGGTAGAATTTGGGTCTGGATGTTGAGGCCATCGCTTGGCCTTCGAGTTGGCAATGGAGATGAATTGCTTCAAATGTCTTGATGTAGTCAATGTTCCATAGTTACTTGATGAAACCAGACTTGCTGCCCAATGCTGAACTTCATCGATACAGTTTGGAATCATGGAGAATTAAATGTTTAACAGATACCCAGGGCTCTCTAATGAGCTTTTGCCGGCCCAGCAATGTCTTATTTCTCTTCAACTTGGCCAAGTCGCCGGAGTGATGGACAGGCCGCGCTGCGCAAGAGTGTACACTTTCGCGAATTCGGACACGGAAAATCAGGCTTGCTTGCTCAAATTGCAGTCAATTAAAAGAGTGTGTCCAGCAGGCACTCGGAGCCGTGAGGCGGTAAATTATTCTAACATCTAATTGACGGCGCTAACATCATGGCAGTAAAGACTGTGCTTGCGCACGTCACGCTTTGTGTAGGGGGAAAAAAAAAATTAATAGGGGGTGGTACCATAATATTCTCCGCTTCTTGCGTTGAATTCCTAGATACACGACCCCATTGTAATAAGCTCCAGCACGGAAAAAGTAAATAATGGATGATTGATTGCTTTGCTCATACGGAAAGACTCACGCACGGCGCGGAGCTCAGCTCCAAGGCTTTTCCGTCATGAGCCTCCTCTGCCGCCTCACCATGCAGAAGCGGGCCATCCAGAACAGGGTGACGAACCCCATGAATCCCGTGGACACCCAGCTCAGGTTGTAGAACTTTTCGCCTCTGCTCGCGTAGAGTCCGACCGGATTGCCGATTTTATTGACGGCCTTGACACCGGTGTTTGTGGCAACGGTGACGATGATGCTGGCTATGATGATGCTGAGGAACGCCAAACCGCCGATGGTGAGATTCACAAGCGCCAGGATGCGCATGTCGGGCTTGAAGAAGGCCGCGACGCCGCCTAATGCCGACACGGCGCAGAAGCCTATGCCTAGGGAGTACATGATGAGCAGACCGAGGAGGGCATTGTTGAGCACGTCGAGCGTGTCTTGGATGCCCTGGGGCCACTTGATGTCGGCAAGGTTGAGCTTTGCAGGGCCAATTCTAAGTTCCTTGTCCAGGAGCTCCGTCAGGTTGAGGCGGTCTATATGTATCTCGCAGTCAGCTTTTGACTCGTTGTTTTGAGTTGCAATCCCCTCTTCTTTTACGACGGATAGGTGGGCACTTACGAGATGGACTCGACGAAGTACAGTTGGTCACGTTGAGCGCAGCATCGGGCGCGGTGGCATTCGGCTGGAAGTAGCCCTCGCACGAGTCCATGATATGCAGTGAGTACCACTGCTTGATGCCAATCTTTTTGGCGATTTGGTCTGCGATGGCGCCGGTGATGTCGTTGAGCTTGCCCTTTACGTCGCCCGTTTTGTCATCCACCCAGTCCTTGGCGTCGCCCAGAATGTTGGCGCCCGGGATTTCGACGTCTGGAATAACACCACCTAGAATACCACCCAGGAAACCACCACCCCCTTTCTTGTCGTCCTTCTTGTCGTCCTTCTTGTCTTTACCGAAGAGGTTGTGTCCGACCATGGAGGTATTGAGCTACAAGCCAAGTTAAAATCGAAGGCGAGTGCAGCCATGTGCGTAATTCCTTACCCTGACCACGGCATAGTCTTCCATAAAACCTGGCTGGCGGCCTGCGAATAGAGCCAGCATGGACAGTATGAAGCTGATGACGGCTAATATGACGGGGAGGAGGATCAAGAATCGGCCGACTGCTGGTTTCATCGTGGCGTATTGCAATTTGAGATCTTTTTCTTCTTTTCCCCCTGTCTTTTTCCTTTTTTTTCCCCTCGCGTTCAACGATTGCGATTTGGTACAGCAACGTAGGCCGTCTCCTATATCAAGATGTGAATAGTAAGGACCGATGGTAAACTTCAACACACAACAAAATACAAATACTAAGCAAGCAACGACTTGCCGGGTATTATAAACGACGTCTCATCTTTGCGTGCACAAAAAGGCGTGGGCAGCCATTCATAGACCTTGGCCACAAACCCCCCATCAGAGTACACATGTTGTACAATCTGTGCATCTTGTTTGACTCATTCACCTCTCACGGCGCCCTCGTTGTCCATTCTCAATCGCTGACGTCCAACCAAGGCGGCATTGAGACCCTGCGCGCAAACAAGCACTGCCAAGGCGTGTGTTGCAGCCTGTTGAAGAAACCCTGAACAAGGGGTATGTCGGCCATGGGGAGGATCGACAAGACACAAAGAAACAATAGCGACCGAGATTTGTCCTCTTGACGCGGTGGTTTGCAGGAACCCCGGTCTGGCGTCACAGTCGGCCGGTCTGGGATGTTGCCGCGCATCTGGCTGGATCAACAAAGTCGCTGGGTGTCGTGGCATTACCCTGGCCTGCCTTCTCAGTGCCCGGGAGGACAGGGATTGCACCGTCACCCCGTGACATGGGCTGGTGTTTTTTTTTTTGCGCAAGCGCTCGTCAAGGGCGGCGGCTGTGAAGAGCTGCGACAAACATGGGATGACGGCAGCCACTCGACACGCTGGGCTTTGTTGGCTTTGACACGACCTTTGCTGGGTCGGGCGGCTGTGCGGGCGCTTCAAAAGCCGTTGGGTTGCTGCTGGTTTTGTTTGTTCGCCCGTGTAATTGTCCATGAGTGTACCCAAGCTGTTGGCGAACAAGGGGTCAAGCGGTGGTGGCACATGATGTTTGTCACGGTTTGCAGGACATTTGTTGTGATGAAGAGAAATCACAGCCTCCTGCCTGAACAGAGGTTCCAGGTCCCTCTACTTTTGCTAGTGCAGCTAGCAATACGATCAATTGAAGTCAATGTATTCATGGATTTGCCTACAGGGGAAAAGACTTCGCATCCCCCTAAAAAAATATTCTTATCGTTGCAGGCGGTGCGAAAGAACTCATTGCCAATGATACTGCCAAGATCCCCTTCTTCCTCGGCGTATATATCCTGGCTATTGGAGCCGGTAAGCAGCACTTTTTCATCCCAAACTTGTCAAGTCTATCAGTTAACGTGGTCATAGCAATGTTCAAACCCAATGTCTCGCCTTTGCTACTTGACCAGATGAGATCCCACGTACCGAAAGTAGTCACACTCAAATCAGGTGAGAGAGTGATTGAGGACCCCGAGCACTCTACTGAGAGAGTCATGTTGTGGTTCTATCTCCTCATCAACATTGGCGCCTTCATGTCCACGGCAACCTCATACTCTGCAAGATATGTAGGCTGGTGGTTGGCCTTCTTGCTTCCATTGCTTCTCTATCTTCCCCTACCTCTTCTCTTGTTGTGGTTGAAGCCACGCCTCGTTCTTCACAAGCCTGGCGGCTCTGACCTTCCCAATGTGCTCCGAGCCATTGGTCACGGTATGGCTGATGGCGGCATCTTCAGAATCGGACGCGCAGGGTGGTGGGAAAATGCCAAGCCATCGGTCAGGGCCCAAAAAGGACTATCCCCTGAGACTCACTACAGCGATGAGTTTGTCGTGGATGTGCAGCGGACTATGCAGGCAACTGGCATGTTTTGCTTCTTCCCTGTTCAATACTGGAACGACAACGGGTATGTTTGTGTAGGCTTGCCTTTTGAAGCACCGATAAAAAAAAAAAAAAAAAAAAAAAACCCCAGCCATAATACTGAACTATCAGTCACTTACAATACAGCAAATTTTTGGCATTCGCGGTCCTCTTATCAGCTACACAATTCGAAACTACAGCTGCATGCACTGTGCCATACGAGACCCATCGAAATGAAGCAGAGGAACAGAAGCGAAAAAAACAAAAATAAATGTGCGTCATGGTACCGACATATTGAGGTATCGAGTATAGATTCCTCAGTCAAACGGAAAATAGGGCCAACCCTAAGCGCTATTTCACTGTCTCTGCATTTCAATCATCCTGGAACATACTGAACAGAAGCTCAAGGAACCAACCATGTTGATTTAAAATCAATGGAATCCAAGGCCTTTGTCGGCAAAGTTCGTTGTGCGGACCTCTTTTCATCCAGCACAAAGACGAGTTTTGTTTAATTTTCCTTGCTCTGGTTTGGCCTGTAGGTTAAACTGCAGAAGAACAAAAGAGCAGCATGCTCACCATGTCCGCATTGCAGCAAAGCCAATTCTGCAAACAAATGGTGACGCCGTTGGGGTAGACTGACTTATTCTGGTCCTTCTGATGCTTTGCGTTGATCTGCGTCACACAACTCATAGGCAGCAAATAGAGGCTCACGAGGAGTAGACTTGATCCAATTCGCGAATTCGCGACTTCCAATTCGCAGAAATAATGTTCAGGCTGATATAAATAAATGCCTAGTTATACGAGATGAAATCCTCTTAAAATATGAGCACCATATACCGAGCAAATGGGACTGCAAGCTTGAAGTTGGTCCGTCTCCCGAACAGGGGTTGCCTACGCCAACAACCTCCTCGCGGCCAAAAATCTTTAGTTTGCAATCTGTCTTCGTTCGCCAAGTGCGAAACTTGCCGCCCTCGTATGGACTCGCCGGCGCCTACGAGAATCATGTCATCGCTGCTGTCCAGCCGTCTGAATAGCGGAAAGGCAATGTTCCTCAGTTTGACGCCTTCTCCTTCGGCAATCTGAAGACTATACTGCTCGCCATTGTCACCCCCCTTCTGCTTGGCTTCGTGGATGAGCCAACCTCGCGAGATACACAGCCACTGTTTTAGCAGGTCCATCTCGCTCGACTCTGGCTGTTCCTCATCGACAAAGTCTGGGCTTCTCCCGCTCCACGGTACCATTCACTTCTTCCTGGCACCGGGCATCGACCACACCACTCTGCCGTCCTGAACAGCGGCTGACGCCCTCGTTAGTGACGCGGAAAGACAGATAGTTTGATCGGCCAGCAGGAGACGCGTTGTGAAATGCACCTTTTCGCTACCGTGGGTAGAGCTTGGTTCGTCGACCTTGTAGGCGCTTGTATTGGAGTGAAGCCGGCGGCACGGTTGTCTGGGTTTAGAGCCGCCAAGTTTGAAGACACCCTTGAGCGAGTCAGGAAGTCGTGCTACATACTCGTCAGTATTTTGGTCCTGCGGAACGGCGTCGTCAAAAGGGTCCCCCGGTCAATCCTCTCTCTAACCGCGATGGGACAATTGCTTACTATTCAAACCGTGCAATTCCCTCATCAACTTTATAGATACGCCAAAGCTCGCGATTAGAAGCATCGACGCATCGACCGTCAACTTGGTCTGGGTCCGTAAGATGCGAGGCGAGGCTGCCTTTGCCGCCATTTCGCCATGAGGCTCATGGATTTCAACGCCTGGTGGTAGGACATTGACCGCGTTGAAATGGAGAAGCCCCGTCAACTGCGAAGCCATCCAAATCAAGTAAATGTGCGACAGTGCTGCCTCCTCCTCGCCACAGCCGACATCACCATGGTAGCCTAGAAATCGGCACTGCTTCGAATTTTGTCTCTGCGCTTGAGAAGATGGATTCACAGGTTCATCGTGATGGGCAGTCTCGTCGCCATGGTCCACAGTGTCACCGCTCCCGACTCTTGCATTCCTCCTCACTCCCCACGGAACTTTCCAGACGATTGGGCGGAAAGAGCGTCGGCGCTCTTGCAAAGCCAACGCTTGAAAGGCATTATCTATATTGGGGCATAAGTCGGAGTTTACAAAGGCCAACTTCTGCGAAGATATATGTGGAATAAAGAATGGCATTAGCAGCCCAAGCGATCTCACAGTCCCCCAGACAGCACAGGCTCGTATCTTGGTGTCATGTCGAATGGCGTTGGCTTTCTTGAGATCCGCCATCTTCCGTTGGAGTAGATCCACGGGTAAAGGGGTCGACTTCCATGACCAGATAGATAGACTTGGTCTTGGTTCTCTTCTTCCAGAGTCCGAACAACTCTTGTAGAAGCGGCAACCCTCTCTTCTTGAGCAGCCCGACGCCCTGGATAAGTTGTGCTACGCATCTGACGGTGAAAGCACCCCTCGAATACCCAACTAGGAATATCTCGTCGTTGTCGTCATAATTATGACACAAGAAGCTGTAAGCCTCGCGGATATCGTCGTAGAGCCCTTGACCGATGCATGAGTACAGTAGGTAAGGTACGCGACTGATGACAGCAGAGCATCACCTTTTCCTGTCAAGCCTTCCCAGTACTGGCCTACTGCGACGGTCCCAGTGCCGATTCCCGGCATGTAGAAAACGATCCAAGGCACACCGGTATCACTAAATGGTGCGATGCATCGTGCCAACTGCGACACATTGGTAAGAGCGCCTTTGCCTTTTTCGCTCTTTCAAGTGCCATCGCAGCATATAATGAGCCTTTTCCGGGCTTTCAACATGACCGGCTGGTCGGTAGTCATTCTTTCGTTGAACGGCCCTTGGTTGAATGCATCATTGAACTCCCCAGCGCTTGAAGCCGCCCTGCTTCAACTGAGGCCTGTTTCTCCTCATTATTGGTCATTTTTGGGATGTGAAGGTAATACACTTGAATGCTTTACAAAATGCAGTCTTTGGAAAGTTGGAACTACAGAGAAGAGATGGCCGCCCATTTTATATCATATTAGGCTGTGAGGCGGGAATATTGCAGCTTTTGGACAGGAGAAGGTCCCTGTGCGATAGAAATTGCGCCAGCTGGGATATACATTTGCAGCGACATCAAGTTTAATGATCGCAAAGCCTTATTCTGTGTTGGACGAGCCAATGAGACATTGCACTCGTTAAATGAAGACAGCCTCATTGCTGCCGCTCAGAAGCTATGTACTCGACCGGTGCAGCCAGCTCGTTCAATCATCATCATCTCCGAGTGTCACAAACTAAGCCACGTTGACATGTGCATTCTTGTTGACGTGGAAAGGGGCGAGACTTTCAGCTATAAAGCAGGCCAGAAGGCTCAACCCGGATTTCCATTGCTCGCCCGTCTGATTTGTTGTCCGCGTCTTCAGTAAGCGTACCGTCCTATTTTCTTTATTTTTAAACTTTCCCATAGACAACAATTTACAAGACCCTGATGTCAACGAGCAAGCTGCCCTAGGGATACATATGTACTTGGGCAAAGCGGAGAGAGCTAGACATGAGCCTGCAATTTATCCCAGGTGCCCTTTTAGGGGTCTCTTCGGGGCCAGGCCCTTTGGGGACCCTGGGCTTCCGCTTGCAGCGGACCAGACTTTTACCATCGAATTCGAGCCTGTGGAAGCCGCTGAATTGGAGCCGTTTGAAGCTGCTTGTTCAATCAAGCTTCGCGATACTATAAACGCTATAATCCTTGCTTTTTTTCATTGATTAAGTATTAAAAAGTACTTTTAAATTAAATTAATTACTTATATTATTCATTAATTATTAAGGTAAAGCGAAAGCTTACCCACGCCCCGTATTCACTCGCTGGGCCATCTCTTTTATCCGTTTTGCCTAATCAAGTTCGGAATCAGCCAGTGCAGGATGCCCCGCTCCCCGCTTTGTTTTGGCACTTCAAGTTCAATGTTGTTACTGGTCAGCCTGCCAGCCGACTGATTGAAAACGGGCAGGAACCATCCTGGACGTCCAATTGACATCACTTTGTTTTCTGGTTTCCTCACCACCAGATTCTTCCAAGAGTTCTCTTCGTGGGAAGGGTCAATTAGCCAGCCAGCCTTAGGAGCAAGAATCAGTCCCCAGAGTCTGCCAGTGCGGCCCCCGTCCACCCCGTCTTGCTTTCCCCAGTGCCGCCTTGCTTTGTCGTGTCTGGTGGCTCCATCGCCCCCGGTCCGACATCTGACACTTGAGGGGTTGATCCCTGTTTCACATCGGACGGCCCTGGGCGGATGCGAGCCCAATCCTTCGAATAACGTCAACTGGTCTTTGCTATTGACAATGGTCAGGGGTCAGGTTCGGTAGGCCACGAGACATGCAGTCCATGGTCAAGCCACTCGGGGCGATTTCAGATCTCGCATCCATCCACAATACTAGTTCGCCGATCCAAACAACGGCGCCTCCATGGCCCCAGCCGGCGTCAGCCAGCTTGCCATGCAGCGTACCAGATGCATTCGTCCATCGGCCAGCGCCCTTCGGAAACATGGCCACGGAGCCGGACCTGGCCATACAAAGGACGACTGGCTAGCTGGACTTGCTTCTTTTGGCGCGCGCGAAAGATGGGGGCTCATTCCCACTCGGACAACGAAACACGGCAGCATCGATACCGGTGTGAACGGTTTGGGGTGTAGTGCCATGCCCAAAACTCTCCCTTGATTTTGGCCTCTGCCGCGAGAGCGTCCAAAACCTGTTCTTGTTCTCTCTTCGCCCCCAACGAGCGGCTGTGCGACCACAGCATTCAGCATATTGGCTGCTCATCCCGATTCCAACAGCCTCGACCTCGCAGAATAGGTGCATGCGGATCTGATGTTCAGACGAGGCTTGGGGGGGAATCCTGTGGACCACGTTGTTGGACTGTTCGTAGCTGATCGGCAAGCAAGCCGCGACCAGACTCAAGCGCCCTTGATCCATCCAAGAGGCAATGTCCACCAGAAGCGTCGCCCTACGGAGCACACCCCCTGGTTCTTGGCTTTTGTTGCTGGAAAAGGCCTCTCCTTTCTTGGGCGCACATAACACCTGGGTGTGAATTTCTTGTATGACACACTCAAAAGCTAAAGCCAGCTGCAACCATAAAGAGGTGGCAAGCTCACTCCCTCCCTCCGTACTCCTCCCCTTCTTCCACAGGGCAACTGTTTTCTTCCATGTGTGGTCGGTTCGTATTCCTTCCCATCTGAGAGCCTTAGTTGCGGGCCAGCCGCTTTGTTTCGTTTCCCATTCACTCTCTTTTTCCGGCTGCATTACTCGAGGCTCTCTACCAGGTTCCACCTCTGGGCCGTTTTTTGTGTGCACGTCGTCGTCTTATTCTTTATATTTTTTTTTATTTCCCCAGCTTCTCACTCTTTTCGCTTCTTTCCTTACGGCCGGGGTTAAATTTAACCTCTGCTCTCCAATTCTCCTTCCCCTTCAGGGGCACCAAGGAACAAAGGTGTTGCACAGGAACAACAACAGACAGCATTCAGCGCCGCCACTGCTGACACCCCTCAGTTTTCACATATGACTCGCAAACCGTGACCATTTCTTGTTTCCTTTCTTTCTTTGTCCTTCAATTCAATTTGATGAGACCTTTATTCTATTCCGCTGCATCTTCCTGGTAGAAGATTTCAGTATTGTCACCTATCAGCATATATTAGACCACCAAGACAATTCCCGATCCCGCTTTTACGATCACCACTCCGGTTAGACACTCTAGGTTCCTTTCCTTGTTCTCTTCTCTTTTTAAAAACCTCAAACTGCATATACCACCTGTGCGGCCCCTGTTCTTGAACATCTTTGAGGATGAAGTTTGTCAAAAGTGTGCATACGGTGGCTGCCCTCAGCGGCATCATCGCGCCAAAGGACCTTGACGTTGAGAGCCAAAGTAAGTCCTCGCATCATTGTGAATATCTGTAGTTCAAACGCTAATCACTGTTTCAGCTTCTGTTCGCAATGTCGCTGCAACACTTGCTTACGAGACCATGACGTACTACTCGGGCAATACAACAGATCCCACGTCGAGGGTATGTAGTTCCAACTAATCGTACATCACTGGCACAAAGAGTACTATACTGAGTTTCCTTCTTATAGGACTTTGGCAATCTGAAAAAGCCATACTACTGGTGGGTAGCTGGTGCTCTCTGGGGAGCCTTGTTGGATTACTACCACTACACATCTGATCCCAGCTATAACTCTGTTGTCATCCAGGCCCTACTGGCCCCTACCAACCTTGGTCCCAACAAGGATTACATGCCTTCTCAGCATTCCGACGAAGAAGGGAACGATGACTTGTTCTTCTGGGGCTCTGCCGTCATGTCTGCCGCTGAGCGCAACTTTCCTCAACCAAACGCAGACCTCCCCTCCTGGCTCGACATTTCCAGCAACGTCTTCAACCAACTCGTCGGACGTTGGGACACCAAGAATTGCGGCGGTGGTCTCTTCTGGCAGATCCTAGCCAGTAACCCCAACGGTTTGAAGTACAAGAACTCTGTTAGCAACGGCGGGTTCTTCCAGCTTGCCGCACGCTTGGGTCGCGCAACCGGTAACAATACCTACCTCGAATGGGCTGAGAAGATTTGGGACTGGAATGCTGAAGTTGGCTTCATCGACAAAGAAACCTACCGAATCTATGATGGTGCTGACATCAGCGACGGGTGCAAGTCGACGAACAAGAAGTCCTTCTCCTACACGACCGGCATCTTCCTCTATGGCGCCGCGATCATGGCTGAACAGACTGGAGACGACAAGTGGAAGCAGCGAACCGAGAAGCTGCTCGACGAGGCCGGCGAATACTTCTTCACTGGAAAGGACAAGAACATTATGTGGGAGGCCGAGTGTGAGCCAAGTAACAAGTGCAACTACGACATGGTCACTTTCAAGGGCTACCTCTCTCGCTTCATGTGGCAGACCTCACGAATCACTCCCTCACTTAGCAAGAAGATTGAAGACCTGCTCGTCCCGACTGTCAAAGCAGCTGTCGCTACTTGCACGGGCGGCAAGAGCGGTCATCAATGCGGAATGAGATGGTACGACGGGGGCTTTGATGGCACAGTCACTCTCGGCCCCCAAATGTGTGCCTTGGAAGTCGTCCAGGGCCTTCTCATCCAGGATTCTCCCGCACCTCTCAAAGGCAACGACATCCAGCAGAACAAAGACGATCACTTCAAGCCCATCGACACATATTCCAACAACATGGCCGTATCAAGCAAGCGGGAAACCTCGTCCACTGCATCTTCCCCTCCTGACCCTGTGGCTACTCCAACTCTTGACAAGGGAAAGGCACCCAAGAAGTCCGAATCAGCTGCCGTCGCTAGTAACAAGTGGGCCTTGGTGGCAGTGGCATTTGGCAGCATCGTCGTAGTTTGGGGTTTGGCATAGACTTGAAAGTCTGGTGTCAAGGGACCTTGCCCTTGACATGGAAAGAAGAAAGATGGGAGAAAAGCCATACATCTTGACAACAAGCTCCATCTCCCTTCCTTTGTCATTATTCGGTTTCTGTATGTACAAACATGTATACGTTGCGAGGTAGATAACAACAAGACACGGCATACCATGGGTAGGGAAGACGGCGTTGGATAGTCATTCGAATAGAGCAGCGAATACCTTGTATAAACAGAGATTACTCTTTGGCGAAAGCAAGTGATTTCAGGTTCATTGAGTACATCATTTTAGCCTCTATGTCCAAGCAAGGTGTCGCTTTAGTTTATCAATGGGGTCTCGGCCCCTCTCTCGTCTATTTACCAGATACGCTTCTCACCTCGACCAAGGCGTTGCGTAATGAGTCTAGAAATTTGGTCACCTCGTCCTCGGTACCAACAGTGATGCGCAGGCATCCCAAACAACCGTGCTCTTTGCCTCTAAATCTAACGACCACACCCTTGTGCTCGGCTAATTTCTCGTACACTGCAACGGCAGTGGAGTTGTCCGGTTTCCCTTGAGGATTCAAAATCTCATAAAGCAAAAAGTTGCTCGCGGTTCCACCTCTTTGCCTGCCCACGCCCTCAATCCTGGGCAGTTCCTGAATCAGCCGCTCCCGCTGGGCTACAATCTTGGCTCGGTTTGCCCTCATGACGGCCAGGCCCTTGTCCCCCAACGCGGATTGCGCAAGAGCGCTCGTGGGGCTGGCGATGTTGTACGGGGCCTTCATGCTGTTCAGCATGCGGGCAATGGGCGGCGAAGCAAAGGCGGCACCGAGGCGGATGCCGGCCATGCCAAAGGCCTTGGACAGGGTCTGCATCACGACAAGGTTGGGATACTCGGCGACGAGCTCGGCGAGGGATGAGTCCCGGGGCGCAAAGTCGATGTACGCCTCGTCGAGGACCACGACGCCGTTCCACGTCGGGTGGTTGAGGACCTGCACGACGTGCTCCTTGGCGAGGAGGGAGCCGGTAGGGTTGCCGGGGGAGCAAAAGTAGGCCAGCTTGACGTCGGGCTCGCTGGACAGGGCGGCGGTCACGGCGGGGACGTCGAGGGCGAACTCGGGGCCGGCCGTGAGGGGGACCCTGACGAGGCCGACGTCGTTGACCTGGGCGGACACGGCGTACATGCCGTACGTCGGGGGGCACGTCAGGATGCGGTCCCTGCCGGGAACGCAGAAGCACCGCAGCAGGGCGTCGATGGCCTCGTCGCTGCCGACGCCGACGAACAGGTTCTCGGGCCCGATGGCCTTGGGGGTGTGGGCGTGCGTGTTGCGCAGCCTGCAGAGCAGCCGCTTCAGCTCGGGCTGGTGAGGGTCGGGGTACCGGTGCAGGCCGAGCGGATCGAGGCCGCCGAGGGACGAGCTGGCGTGCTCGACGGCCGCTGGGTCGAGGGACGGTCCGTAGGCGTTCTCGTTTGCGTCGAGGAGCACGTTGGTGCCGTCGTCCTTGTAGTCACTGCGTTTTGTCGCATCTCCCTGTCAGAGCCTTGTGCTTTGTGCGCCGGGAGGAGGGCGCGTATTTTTTTTTTTTTCCTGCTTACTCTCGTGCACAGCGGTACGGCTGCAGCGCCAGGATGTTGGGTCGCGCGCAGGTTTCTAAATTGAACGGCGGCATTGTGTGTGTGTGTTGCCCATGGACGGGTTCTGCGGGAGTTGGAATTGGCTCCCGTCGTTTGCTTTTTGAGCTTTCCGGCGTAGATGAATTTCCGTGGTGGGTTGAGTCAAATGGAGCGGAGGAGCGCCGAGCACGGAGCGGAAAGCGGGTCCCCTCGCTAATCGTGGCCGAGACGGATGCGGCCTGGCCCTTGGCAATTGGCCCACTTGCACCGGTTGACTTTTTCTTCGATCCCTCCCCCCCTTTCCAAAATCGTGAGTCGAGGCTGGGGTAGAGTTGAGATTGAGCACGGAGTAGAGGAGGCATGTTGGGCAAGCGGCTTGCAACTTCACGTGCGCTGGTGCTCGGGCTGCAGTCTGTATTTCTCCACAATGTGACACATTGCTTGAGAAGTCTAGACCGCTTGGAAACACGCGTGCTCAGAAGTTGAAGTGTCCTTGGATGTTGCGTGGATCCCACAGCCGGAAACGAGACACGGTTAGTCTAGTAATCTTATCCGTCCACAGGTGTATGATGTTCGAGCTGCTCCGGACAGCCTCTATTTGTGCATCGTCGCCCAGATGCGCGTTTTTGGAGGGAGTGTCGGAATTGTAGTCAGCCTAATTATGCTGATAACAAAAGTCCAATCCAGCCCACAGGATAACCTTACCCCTGAGCAACAAGACGACTTTTATCAGTCTCCGTTGTCGTTGTTTACCTTTTCATCTTCACAGCAGATACTAGCACGGGAAGCGCTTATCGACGCCTTGTGTTGATATGTATATTTGCCTTGATGTTTCAGTGGCGACGCTCTTTGTCTCAGTCTTCACGTATCCGTCCTCTGTATAGTTACGGCTACGAGATTTGGAAGCGGAGTTGGTTCAGAGTGCTGTAATATCGGATACGTCTAAAGCGTAAAGGGGACCCGTAATGCGAAGCCTACGCTTGAGTGAGTCGACGGCAATAACACACCTTGTTCATGGATATCTTTGTGAGTCAAATTTAACACGACTGTAAGAAATCCTCGTGGAGCAAGTCAACGTTTTGTTGCTCAAAATCATGGCGTTTTGGTCCCGTGAGGCAGCCCAACTTGCAAACCAGTAGGGTCTGGTCCACAAGTCGGAAGGGTTCCTGTCTAGGGTAGCCCAAAGTACAAAGCCCTTCCCTCCAACAGCTTCAACTCTTCCACCAGACTTGTAACAAACCACCACCATCCACCCGGCCGGACGAAGTGCATGCTGTCACCTACGACATAGCGCCGCAACTCTCTCTCAGTATCTCAGGCCGATAGCAACGTCCAGATCTACCCCAGCGTTACAATTACCCGGATTGAGCCTCGGCCGACCCTCACACCGCCCGCAACTAGAAGAGAGACTGTCAAGGCGCGACTCGGCGCAACTTTCGTCACACAAGACACCAGAGCGACACCACGAAAACTCAAAGCAGCCGCGATTATTGTATCCGCGCGTGGTGACCCCTGAGCTCCCACGTAACTGCGCGCCAGCATCATCGATCAGGACGGCTCGACACAGAATACTTCGAACCCATTGCTGCCTGTCCAGACACGCGCGGTCTTGGGTCGCGAACGACCGCCAAGCCAGATCATTCCTCGTCCATATCTCCACGCGAAAACCCAGTCTCAGCTGAGCAAACACCCAGCCCACCATGTACAATGCCGGCTATGGCTTTGGCAACCCGGCCTTCAACCAACCCGGAACGCCGCAGCAGCAACAGCAGCAGCAACCACCACAACAGCAGCCGGGGCAGCCCAATCCTCAGATGATGTACAATCAGCAGCAGCAGTTCGCGGGTATGGGACCCCAGGGAGGCTTCAACCCCGGCGCCAATCCCCAGATGATGCAGGGCATGCCAGCTGGCATGTTGCAAAACCCTGGGATGGCCAATATGCCCCCCAATGGACAGAGTGAGTTGCCTGGATTTTTGTGTGACGTTGCCGTCTACGATTGATTTGCTTGCCCCTCCTACACAGAGCGTCTAGCAAAATGTTGATGAAATTCGTACCCAGCCGGATTGAACCCAATGACCAGTTTTCTGGAACATGCTAACAAGGATATGAATGCAGTGCCCGGATACGGCCAACAGTTCCCCGGAGCCGGTTACGGTCAGATGATGCCCGGCGGCGGCGGCGGCGGCGGCGGCATGCCTCAAAACTTTGCGCCGAATAATTACATGATGCCCGGCGGTATGCAGGGATTTCCGATGAACCAACCGGGCATGACCCCCCAGCAGATGCAATTAATGCAGAGGATGCAGGCACAACAAGCCGCTCAACAGGCAGCCCAGCACCAGCAACAACAACACCAGCAGCAGCAGCATCATCAACAACAACATCCCCAACAACAGCAACAGATGCCGCAGCAGCAGCAACAGCATCCTCAACAGGCGCAGCAGCCTCAGCAACCGCAGCAACAAATACAACCGCAGCCGCAACAACCTCCACAGCCTCAACAGCCCCAGCCCCAGCAACTTCACCAACCACCGATGAATGCTGCCATGTCACAGGTCTCTACACCTCAAAGACCGCCGAGCGCAGCCCAAGGCACCCCAACGAACCCGATGCAGCAGCAGCAGCAACAGCAACAGCAACAGCAACAGCAACAGCAACAACAATTCTCGACACCACAGCCTCAGTCTCAAAATCAAACTCCGCAAAACGCACAGCAGCAATCCGCGAGTGGAACACCTCAAACGCCGACGTTCTCAGCCAACCACGGCGGTGGTATGAGTCTTCCTACATCAGGCACGCCAATGAGTCCAGGTGCCGAATCCAGGGAAAAGGAGAGGTTTGCACTGCTCTTGGACATCAACCATGAGCTGCTTTACGAATCAATACAGATTCAAACCACACAATCGGAGCTTAAAAAGGAGAACCCCTCGCCAAACGGCAACCCGGCAGAAAGGAAACCTACCGAAGAGGAAAACCTGTTCCAGCAAGATTACCTTCAGTAGGCCAGAGCCCGTATTGGCAATGTTGCGGTATTGAGCAAGCTAACATAGGCTTCCAGGTGTATGAGACGACTACAGGCAAATCTATCCTACATGGCCGCCATGGCAGACCGAAAACCGGAGGTCAAGGCACCGCCCTGCCCGGCGTATCTCAGCGCGCCTCCCCTAAATCTTTCGCTTAAGTTGAGAGCTGCGCCAATTGGAGCAGAAGGACAAGATGTGAACATTGACCCCGTTGCGGACAGGGCCGAGCGAGACAAATCAATCAAGGATCTGTATCGTCGACTGCAAGCAGTCTTCCCAGGATTTGACCCGAAGAAGGAGCCCGTTTTCCGCTCTGGTGCTGGACAAAAGATTGGTGGTCAAGGGCCAAACCAAGCCAGTCCAGCCGTTCCGCAAAACCCTCAGATGCCAAACATAACCGCACCGCCTGGCCACCCTGGGATGATGGGCTAAGGGACGACATGTTTCAGGAGCCGATTTGTCTTTGGAACGCGGGGAGCTATCCCGGAGAATGTTCAAATCTTTCGACGTGCGCTTGAGGAACTCTGTGTTGGGTTTCCAACAAAACTTTGCCACAAACCAGGCGTTGGGGGGCGGGATATTACGCCCAAAGATGTCCACGTTAAGCATGCTATATACCCTTTCTGGTGAGCGGATACGAATGCCCGACAAAGGAACTTTTTTCCCTTCCCTTTACTTTTGTTTTGGATATTTGGAGTTCAGTGTGTGCGACGGGGTGGTACATAGCGGTGGATTGCGATAGCCTGTACATGTCACAGACACGGAGCTGTGATGACAGGCAGGATGATGGGTTAAAACAAGAAGGCTCCTTTTTTCCTCTCTTTTTCTTTTCTTTTTCTCCCTTTTTTTTTTGGATATGACGAGGCGAATTGGTTGGGGCGGTGTAGGATAGAGATTAGTGTTTTACTTGGGAGCATGAGATTTGTTTGAAGACGGTTGAGGCGCATCATTGGTGTCGTATTTACTGCATACAGCTAGCTAGAAACAAGAACAGAGAGCCTGACTCGATGGATTTCCTATCATATGAGTGCATGTTGATGCGCACGCTAGTCGCGACTAGCTCCTTGTTTCGCTTCTGATGCGCGCCGTGCGTATCCTCTCACCGTATGTTACGGCACTTGGAGTCCGTGTCGTCGCCTCCACTTGGGGGAGGAGGTTGATGCGCGACAGACGGGGTGAATTGTGGTTGTTTTGGAGAGCGAACAACTTGTAAAATTATCGTGTACTATCTGAAAAGAGCTTGCTCATGTGAAGTGTTCGGCGAGGTATGCGGTTGACCGAGACGGCCTGGGCTGCAGGATCTGGAGGGGACTTAGTTAGTAGTATGCCTTTATTAAGCACACCAGTTGACATGTCACTCACTAGTGCCGAGACATATGTCTACCACCATTAAACTGGGGCAAGCGAGTGCTGAAGTGCAATTGGCCAATGGGAGCGCGTCATTGACAGCCTGCACCCTGCGGTCAGGGACGAGGATGACCTAGGCAGAGACCAGAAAAAAAGTTTTGAAGTCCCGCTTGCGGTTGGTATCCTCTTCTCTCTTCACCTTTTCTTTATCACCTCTCCGCAAATCTTCCCTATTTCTTACTAAAGAAAAAGGAAATCAATCTTGTTGCTGCGGCAGATGATTGCGAGGTAAAGCTTTTGACCTGTCCAAGGAAACTCTGAGAACGAGTTTTCTTGCCCAGTCGTCGCTAGCGGATCCCCTCGCACACAGAGCACTTCTCGTCTTATCGTGCCTCTGCCCCGCCAACGTTTTTTTTTCCCGTCTCTCATCGCTTCAACCAACGCCCTCCCCCAATTGCATAGAGCGTGTGCAAAATGGCCGCCATCAAAGCGCTGCCGCCCTCTTCGGCACACTTCTCAAGCGCCAATGATGATGGCCTCGTCTGCCTCGAGCTCGAGGACGGCTCTGCCTACACTGGCTACAGCTTCGGAGCCCAGAAGAGCATCGCCGGAGAGCTGGTATTCCAGACGGGCATGGTGGGGTATCCCGAGTCTTTGACCGACCCTTCATACCGCGGACAGATTCTCGTCATTACTTTCCCTCTTGTAGGAAATTATGGCGTGCCTTCTCGCGAGACAGTGGACGAGCTTCTCGGCGACCTGCCAGCTCACTTCGAGTCCTCCCGGATTCACGTTGCCGGCCTTGTCACCGATTCATACTGTGGAGAGGACTTCTCCCACTTCCTGGCAACATCCTCCCTGGGCACCTGGCTGAAGGAGCAGGGCGTACCGGCCATGTATGGCGTCGATACCAGAGCCCTGACCAAGAAGATTCGGGAAAAGGGCAGCATGTTGGGCAGGATGCGACTTCAGACGCTCATCCAGACCAATGGTGTCACCAATGGCATCGTCAATGACACCCCGCTCGAGAATTTCGCCGAAATTGAATGGGTGAACCCCAACCAGAAGAACCTCGTCGCTGAGGGTGAGTTCTTTGTTCCTGCGATTCCACAGCTTCCAATTCTGGACAAGAGTGCATATGCTCATACATGCTTCGCTTTGCAGTGTCTGTCACGGCTCCTAAGCTCTATAAGCCACCTACTTCCGTGGCCACCCGCAAGCACCCTTCAGGCCGAGCTATCCGTGTTCTTTGTGTCGACGTTGGTATGAAATACAACCAGCTGAGGTGCTTCCTCAAGCGTGGTGTCGAGGTCATGGTCTGCCCATGGGACCACGACCTGGCCAAGGAGGCAGGCGACCAGTATGACGGTCTCTTCCTTTCTAACGGCCCTGGCGACCCGGAGGTCCTCGATGTTACCGTCAAGAACATCCAGGCCGTCATGGAAAAGAATAGGACGCCTGTTTTCGGTATCTGCTTGGGCCACCAGTTGCTTGCCCGTGCCTCTGGAGCCTCGACCAGCAAGATGAAGTTTGGTAATCGTGGTCACAACATCCCCTGCACCAGCATGGTAACCGGAAAGTGTCACATCACCTCACAGAACCACGGGTTTGCCGTTGATGCTAGTACTTTGACTCCTGGCTGGAAAGAGCTCTTTGTCAATGCCAACGACGGCAGCAACGAGGGTATTATGCACGTTGACAAGCCATACTTCAGTGTTCAGTTCCACCCTGAGAGCACGCCTGGTCCTCGCGACACCGAATTTCTGTTCGACGTGTTCATCAACACCATTGTCAACTGTACCGAGGACCCCAAGCTCCTTCAGCAGCCCGTCAGCTTCCCAGGAGGGACCATTGAGGAGAATGAGCGGCTTCACCCTCGCGTCCCAGTCAAGAAAGTCCTTGTTCTTGGTAGCGGTGGTCTCAGCATTGGCCAGGCTGGCGAGTTTGACTACTCTGGCAGCCAGGCCATCAAGGCCCTCAAGGAAGAGGGCATATACACTGTCTTGATCAACCCCAACATTGCCACCATTCAAACCTCCAAGGGTCTTGCCGACAAGGTTTACTTCTTGCCTGTCAATGCCGAGTTCGTCCGAAAGGTCATTCACTACGAACGGCCTGACGCCATCTACGTTACTTTTGGTGGTCAGACTGCTTTGCAGGTCGGTATTCAGCTCAAGGACGAGTTCGAGGGCCTCGGTGTCAAGGTTCTGGGAACTCCTATTGACACCATCATCACTACCGAGGACCGTGAGCTCTTTGCTCGCAGCATGGACTCCATCGGCGAGAAGTGCGCCAAGTCTGCCTCTGCTAGCAGCGTGTACGAAGCCATGCGGGTTGTCAAGGATATTGGCTTTCCCGTCATTGTTCGTGCCGCTTACGCTCTGGGTGGTCTTGGCAGTGGATTTGCGAACAACGAAGCTGAACTCCTCGACCTTTGTAACAAGGCTTTTGCCGCCAGTCCCCAGGTGCTTATTGAGCGCAGCATGAAGGGCTGGAAGGAAATTGAGTACGAAGTTGTCCGAGATGCGCAGGACAACTGCATCACAGTCTGTAACATGGAAAATTTCGATCCTCTGGGTATTCACACCGGTGACTCTATCGTCGTCGCCCCCTCGCAGACCCTGTCTGATGAGGACTATAACATGCTGCGAACCACTGCCGTCAACGTCATTCGTCACCTTGGCGTTGTTGGTGAGTGTAACATTCAGTATGCCCTGAACCCGTTCTCCAAGGAGTACTGCATTATCGAGGTCAATGCCAGATTGTCCCGATCCTCAGCTCTTGCTTCCAAGGCTACTGGATACCCCCTGGCTTTCATTGCGGCCAAGCTAGGCCTGGGCATTCCCCTCAAAGAGATCAAGAACTCCGTCACCAAGGTCACATGCGCCTGCTTTGAGCCTTCTCTTGACTACGTCGTCGTCAAGATGCCTCGATGGGATCTTAAGAAGTTCACCCGTGTCTCTACTCAGCTGGGTTCTTCTATGAAGAGTGTAGGCGAGGTTATGAGCATTGGTCGGTCATTCGAAGAGGCCATTCAAAAGGCCATTCGATCCATTGACTTCCACAATCTCGGCTTTAATGAGACCAAAGCACTCATGAGCATTGACGATGAGCTTCAGACACCTTCTGATCAACGCTTGTTTGCTATTGCCAATGCTATGCATGAGGGCTACTCCGTTGACAAGATCTGGGAGATGACCAAGATTGACAAGTGGTTCTTGCGCAAGCTTAAGGGCTTGAGCGACTTCGCCAAAGATATGAGCCGATATACCACAAAGGACATTACCCGATCTCCTAATCTGCTGCTTCAGGCCAAGCGTCTCGGTTTCTGTGATCGTCAGCTTGCCAAGTTCTGGGACTCCAACGAAATTGCTGTTCGCAGAATGAGACTCGAGGCAGGCATCCGACCTTTTGTCAAGCAGATCGATACTGTTGCAGCTGAATTCCCGGCTTTCACCAACTATCTCTATCTCACTTACAATGCCAGTGAGCATGATGTCTCATTTGACGATCACGGTGTTATGGTTCTTGGTTCTGGCGTTTACCGTATTGGTTCTTCAGTCGAGTTTGATTGGTGCTCCGTTCGTGCCATTCGAACGCTGCGTCAAACCGGCTTCAAAACTGTCATGGTCAATTACAATCCTGAGACCGTAAGCACTGATTACGACGAGGCTGATAAGCTGTACTTTGAGAATATTAACCTCGAAACCATCTTGGATATCTACCAGTTGGAGGCTTCAAGCGGTGTTCTTGGAGCTATGGGTGGCCAGACGCCTAATAACATTGCTCTGCCGCTGCACCGAGCAGGTGTCAAGATTCTCGGTACCTCCCCTGAGATGATTGACATGGCCGAGAACCGATACAAGTTCTCTCGCATGTTGGACCGTATCGAAGTTGACCAGCCCACCTGGAGGGAGCTCACCAGCTTTTCTGAGGCTAGAGAATTCTGCAATGCCGTCAATTATCCAGTGCTTGTTCGCCCATCCTACGTCTTATCTGGTGCTGCGATGAACACTGTCTACTCCGAGAAGGATTTGGAAAGCTACCTAGCTCAGGCTGCCGAGGTTTCTCGGGAACACCCTGTTGTCATCTCGAAGTATATTGAGAACGCCAAGGAGATCGAGATGGACGCTGTCGCAAAGGATGGTGTGGTTGTCGGCCACTTCGTCTCTGAGCATGTGGAAAACGCTGGTGTTCACTCTGGCGACGCCACTCTCATCCTCCCCCCCCAGGACCTGGAACAAACCACAATCGAGAGAATTGAGGAGGCCACTCGCAAGATCGGTGCTGCTTTGAACGTTACTGGCCCTTTCAATATCCAGTTCATTGCAAAGGATAACGACATCAAGGTTATTGAGTGCAATGTCCGGGCTTCTCGATCGTTCCCCTTTGTTTCCAAGGTCATGGGTGTCGACTTGATTGAGATGGCCACCAAGGCCATCATGCACCAGCCCTTCCAGGAGTACCCTCCTACCAGCCTTCAGCCTAATTGCGTTGGTGTTAAGGTACCCCAGTTCAGTTTCTCGCGTCTGTCTGGTGCTGATCCAGTTTTGGGTGTGGAAATGGCTTCCACTGGTGAGGTTGCTTGCTTTGGTGTAGACAAGTACGAAGCCTACTTGAAGGCTCTGCTGTCTACTGGTTTCAAGATCCCCAAGGCCAACATCCTTCTGTCCATTGGCTCGTACAAGGACAAGAAGGAGTTGCTACCATCCATCCAGAAGCTCCAGCGCATTGGCTACAAGTTGTTCGCTACCGCTGGTACTGCGGATTTCCTCCAGGAGCACGGTGTTCAGGTTCAGTACCTCGAGGTTCTCGGGCGCGATGAGGACATCAACTCGGAGTTCTCCCTTACTCAGCATCTGGCCAACAACATGATTGATCTGTACATCAATTTGCCTTCGAACAACAAGTACCGCCGTCCAGCCAACTACATGAGCAAGGGGTACAAGACTCGTCGTATGGCCGTTGACTATCAGATTCCTCTTGTGACCAATGTCAAGAATGCCAAGATTCTGGTCGAGGCCATTGCTCGTCACGTCTATCTGGATGTTTCTAAGCGTGATTTCCAGCTGAGTGAGCTGCCCCCTCCCCCGCCTGTCGTCTCCGCGAAAACTCCCGAGATGAAGGCCTCCCTTCCATCTATCGGACAGGTTACCGAAAGCCCTCGACGACGAGGCGCCGATGCTATGCTCGCTTCACCCATCCGTGGTGCTGGCCATATTGACGAGCTTGCCCTGCCCGCGGCCATTCAGACTTCTGCCATCAGCGCCTCTGTCCTCAAGCTCCTCTCGCAGCCTTCGGTCTTCAAGAACGCCAATGTCTTGTCTGTGAAGCAGTACACCCGTGCTGATCTGCATTTGTTGTTCACTGTCGCTCAGGAAATGCGCCTCGGCGTTCAGCGCGCAGGAGTTTTGGATGTCCTCCGTGGTCGCGTCCTTTGCAGCGTTTTCTACGAGCCTTCTACCAGAACCTCTGCATCATTTGATGCTGCCATGCAGCGCCTGGGTGGACGCACAGTCTCCGTCCCCGCCACAAACTCGTCTGTCCAAAAGGGTGAAACTCTTCAGGACACTCTGCGTACTCTGGCTTGTTACAGTGACGCCATTGTCCTCCGCCACCCTGACGAGAAGTCCGTGGACATTGCTGAAAAATACAGCGACGTTCCCGTCATCAATGCAGGCAACGGTAGCAAGGAACACCCCACCCAGGCTTTCCTGGACCTCTTCACCATCCGTGAAGAGCTCGGTACTGTCCAAGGGCTGACTATTACCTTCCTGGGTGACCTCCGATACGGGCGTACTGTGCACTCCTTGGTCCAGCTGCTCCGCCACTACCAGGTCCATGTACAACTGGTCGCTCCCAAGGGACTGGAGCTGCCCAAAGATGTCAAGGACCAGTTGATTGTATCCGGCCAGCTACTTGGGGAGTCGGACACTCTGACTGCTGAGATTATTGCCCACAGTGATGTCTTGTATTGCACTCGTGTCCAGCAAGAGCGGTTCGAGACTGCCGAGCAATACGAGAGAGTGAAGAACTCGTATCGCGTGGATAATGCCACTCTCAAGCATGCCAAGAGCCACATGGTGGTGATGCATCCTCTACCGAGGAACGAAGAGGTGGCTGAGGAAGTGGACTTTGACCAGCGAGCGGCATACTTTAGACAGGTGAGTATTTCATTCTCAACCATGGAAGGTCGTGCTTCATGGGTTAAGCAGCGCAAAGTGCTAACTGAGTTTTCTAGATGCGTTATGGACTGTACTGCAGAATGGCACTCTTGGCACTTGTCATGTCTTCGTAGGCCATGTTGATGTTTTATTAGACATATTCCGGTACAGGGGCCAAATACTCTGTTCGCAAATGATTGGACGTGGAAGAAAAGTTCAAAATGGATCAACGGCGTAGACGAGGATTTCAGTCATTGTGTTCTTTTCGATAGAATTTACGTGCTTCAAGGTATTCGTATTCGGTAGTCAGAGCGTGTGGCTGGATTTGAGTCCCATGCCTGGGGTTTTATGAAACGTATCCCCATATATCATGATGGCAATCGCTGGAATCGATTGCGTGTATGAGTGTATATCTGTATGTATGAGACGTATGTATGCGTGCGTGCGTGAGTTGCGTACGTACACGTATGTATGTGTAGACGAGTAATGTGTAGTGTATATGTATACATACGGTTTGTTACGTTTCGTGTATGTTTATTTGTTTATTTGTATATAGTATATTTAGATTAGATTAGTTTAGCTTAGTTTAATATATTGAGTTGTGATGTTTGTAATCTGAGTATGGTCTGAGTCTGGTGTCGTTGAGGTGCACATGTCTTTCGACCTGGAAGAGTGGGACGACGGGTCCGTAGAGCGTAGCATAGATTACATTTGGGGGGTGTTTGAGGGGGGTGTTTATACAAGAATTCTCAAAGTACATTGAACAGAGAGCAGCATATCAATGTTTGGTCAATTGGCCGAAGTATTGGACAATTCAACCATTGATTGCGGCGCGGAGCCGCGAGGCCGAGCCGAAGATGCGGTTGGTTCTCGACTCGGGCATCCACCTTCCGGACTTGGCTACGCTCCGCGAAGAGGATTAGAGACGAGAGGCTACCGCACCCGAAGCGACCCTACCTACCTGGTGGATTTAGATGGCATAAGCAGGACCGGATTGAACCAAGGCTTCACTTGAATATTATGACTTTCTTCTGCGACAGATTCTGGATTATGTCGGGGAGCATGGTCACACCTCAGTCTCCGGCCATGACACGGAGGGCCGTATCCAGGTTGATAGTCGCCGCGGCCGTGTTGCCAACAACACCAACAACTACCCTGCCCTCAAGGACGGCTGGTCAACGCGCATCTCGTCCGTCATCCGCGACGACTTTGTCCTCCGGGACGGGCATGCCACGGCGCACCTGACGCTGGGCGACGCCGTCGGCCACCGCACCGGCGTGCCGAGCCACGACATCTCGCTGGCGACGTACCCCGGCTCCGACTCCAGCACGCCCGTCAGGCACGCCGTCGAGACCGTCACGGGGACGTCGTTGCGAGAGACTCTTGACAGCGTCATCCGGGCCCCGCTGGGGATGAAGTCGACGTTTCTGGACGTGGACAGCGCCGGGGCGTCCGGGCTGGATCTCTCCACGGGGTACTGACGACGACAAGAAGAGGGAGCACGTCGCCATGCCCTTCATCGCCACGGCCGAGATCTCGGGCGCGGGGGCCGTCATTTCCAGCGTGGCCGACTACGCGAGGTGGGTAAAGGCGCTGCTGAAGAAGGGCGCGTTTCTATCCGAGGCCACGCACGACGACATTGTCCGGCCGCGCTTCATTTCCATGGCGGTTTCCATGGCGGAGCCGAGCAAGGGCGCCGACGTGACGACGTACGCGCTGGGCTGGTTCCGGACGAGCCTGCACGGCGAGAGGACCATCGCCCGCGATATATCCAAGTTGCGTTGATGGAGGCGGTGGTTGGGACGCGAATGGGACCGTTGAGTCGTCGACATCTGAAGACAAGTGACTAGGTAGGGTCCTACAGCGACGACTCTCATCAACATCTACTTTCGAACAGCCGTTTGCCCGCATCAAAATGGGACATGGACTGGTTTTACAAGGCAAGGCAAGGCTTCATAATGGCACAGCCAATCCCTGCCATATCACATTAGAGCATTCAGTACGGAGCACCTCTAACCAAGAGAGACGTCGACATCTCTCCCCACTCTCGTACCGTGCATAAATGAACATGAAGCAAAATGCACTGTGCTTCTCCCGCGGCCACCCGCCACCCGTGGAGCCACCCGACTCCGACGCCTTCCCGAGAAAATAGTCATCGTCATACCACCAGCCCACGACTGACTACTCATCCTCACCCCATTCCACCAGCATCAATCATGTCCTCGCTCACCCTCGCCCAACAGCCAGCATAAGAGAAGGCACGGAGGAAAAGAACCGTAAACAGCCGCCACGGCTCTCCAAAAACTCACTCGTTGATGCGCTGCACACGCCCCAGGGCACTGTTCGCACGCTCCACCATGGCACTCTACCGCCGGCCGTCCCAGGCCAAGCTCATCTGTAAGCCTGCCTCACCTTGAAAGAAAAAGAAGAAAAATACACCACACCTGCAGAAGCCCTCCCACGGGGGTTGGCTCGGGAAGAAGAAGGAATCAAACAAAGTTGAAAATAAAAATGCCAACGCTCCCTCCCTCCCAGTCGCACCGGCCGGCTCATCCCCCCACGGCCAAGCCGAGCAGTTCACCAAGTCGACGCTCTCCAGAAGGGACCTCGACCCGACGACGCCGACGCCCCAGTTCAACAGCTGGTTCTCGCAGGCGCAGGCCTCGGCCATCTCGCAGCCCGAGGCCTGCACCCTGTCCACGGCCGAGCTGCCGTCGGGCCGCGTCTCCTCGCGCATCGTCTACCTCAAGGAGCTCGACGCGGCGGGCGGCTACGTCGTCTACTCCAACTTTGGGACGTCGCGCAAGGCCGCCGACCTGGCCACCAACCCGCACGCCGCGCTCGTCTTCTTCTGGGGCCCGCTGCAGAGGCTGGTGCGCGTCGAGGGCGTCGCGAGCCGGTACTCGCCCGAGGAGAGCCAGGAGTACTTTGACACGAGGGTCAGGGGCAGCAGGATCGGCGCCTGGGCGAGCCGCCAGAGCCAGGTGCTGGAGCCGAACGGGGACGTGGACGGCGACGACGGCCGGGCGCAGCTCGAGGGGTGGGTGGCCGACGCCGAGAAGAGGTTCGAGGGCAGGGAGGACATCCCCGTGCCCGATTTCTGGGGCGGGCTGAGGATTGTGCCCACGCGCGTCGAGTTCTGGCAGGGCCGGCCGTGCCGCTTGCATGACCGCTTTGTCTACGTCAGGGAGGAGGGGAGGGACGGCGAGGACGACAAGTGGACGTTGCAGAGGTTGAGCCCCTAGGGTACAAGAGCGGGGGAAAAGGCATAGATTATCGGCATTCCGAAACGCCCAAGAGCCAGCACAGAACGTAGACTAGAGTTACTCTATCGCGACAGAATCGTAGTATATTAGGTTATGAACGGATGGTTATTTTACTGCCCAGCATTTTGAAAATCCCGTACGAATGGCATGATATTCAGCTGCCTATCGCGGTGAAGCGCCAATTATTGCGCTCATGCGTTTATTTCCAATATATCCCATGTGAAATGCTGCGCCATGTCCCCGCGGGGATTCTTTCCTCATTAAACCATTTTAGAAAGCAAGAACTCCGTGTTTCCTTAGTCAACAACCAGGGTATGTGTGCAAAAGAGAAAGCCGACAAAAAGAAAGACAAGTCTGAGCCAGAGATTTGCTAAACGAAAAAAATCCAACAAGGTAAAAAACACCCATCCTCAGTAGTAAAATGAGGAAAACGCCGCGCGAACCCTAGCCTTGGAGCGTTGTCTCCCAAGGCCCAGTAGGAAATGCGTCATATTGACATCAGGCCGCTTGCTATCATGTTCCTGGTAAACGCCAATCTGATGTTTTGCAATGAGAAACTGATGATATCATACCGCTTATGTGCGGGGAGTGACAACCTAAACTCATCATCTAAAAGTAGGGAGTTCCAAGGGCTTCACTTCGTGGCGTCGTCACGGCTTCGGGAGACGTGGTGCACGGAGTCTCTGAAGGGGTCAAAGACAGGCCAAGTCCCAGGGCCGTCGTTGGAGGCATCATGGTCTTGGATCGACAGTGGCCGAGGACGAAATTGCGGTCGCCGTTGCTGCTGCTACTGGCAAGGCTATCGGGTGGTGAGAGCGGGGGGGTGTCCCAATCCAGTTGCTTTCCGGCCAACTGCATGTCTACCATGGCATCGGACAGACAGTCTTCGTCGCACAGTGGCATGATTCGATAGTTGAGGCTCTCCATAATGCATCGCTCGGTAGCATTGAGCTGGTCGTGTGACCATGTACCATGTCCCCAGGCATCGCAATAATACTGGGTTGGCTGTTGAGGGTCCTCAATAAACTTGACAGCAATGACAAGCGCTGCAAGAATGATGAGCTCCGGTGGCACGGAGTCGATGTGCAGCATCTGGTGCTGCTGGTGTTGGTACAATAGCGGAGTCGGAGGGAGTGTATGTCGTTTGCTTGTCGACGAGGCGGCCAATGCTCCGGGCAGCAAAGGACAGGAGAGCCGCCACGCCCGGGCAAACTTCTTGTCCAAGCTGTCGAGAATACATACCGCGAGGGCAACTGTCTCGATAGGCAAGTCCGCACGGCTTAGAATTGCCTGTACAGTGGGCACAGAAGCCATGGCCAACGAAGCTGACGAGGGAATGAGGTTTACCAAGTGGATGGCTGGTCCTGTTGGGAGTATTCGTGGTCAACAACCTAGTATATCAAGCCATGTGTGACGCGAGGGGAAAGAGCAGCAGTGTCAATGTGACCGGCAATGTACACACCTCGATATTTCGCCTCGAGAGGCTCTCCATCTTCTAAGCTGCTGGAAGCAATTGTGCACGGCGATTTGGATTCCTTGCATGTTGGGGGAGGTGTGGGAAGATTCGAAAGTGGTCGATAGGTGAAGTAGGTGCTGTCGTCGTCTGCCATGTTACCTCGACGCATTCTGGGCAATGTGTAGCTTCCCAGCTCCATCACCAGGTTTGGTCCTCAATTCAAAGTGCAGAAGGGTTTCTCCCATGTTTTGACAGCAGAACGTTCCCACCAGCTTTCCCCCTAGCTTCCCCTCTTCCCTTGTTGTAATGCTCTGTGGCGGCCGGCTTCGAAGCGGTGACGGCGGCTGCTGAATGCTCAGCACAGGGATGCGATCACGCGAGCGCCACAACCCACTTCAAGTCGGCAATGAGAGGGGAAAAAGAAGAGACGGTCCTTATATCCTGCGATAGAAGGTGAAGAAGAGAAGGGAGGTGGGAAGGCTGGCTTTGATAAATGCCGTTTGCTCAGAACGAGACAGCCTGTCAGCTGCATGTCGACGGCAGGGCCAGGCTGTGAATAAACATGTTCCTGAGACTAGGTAGGCATCCCAAGGAAAAGGACCCAGAGCTTCGTCTACACGAGCTAGGGTACGGCCTTGTCCCGGTGGAATCTTTCTTGCTCAGGGGTCCGTCTTAGCCTCCAAGCGCGCCAAGAGCTGGATTGACTGGGCAAACTGGAAAAGCATGCATGGATAGCCCGCTCGACCGTTCGCGGTTCGTTGTGCTGGGTCGTTCCGGACGAGTGAAAATCATGGCCCCATTGGGTCAGTCGTGGGTGAGCCATGGCGACAGCCAGGATCACGGGCGGTGGAGGCGGAGCCAAGCCCAGGACTCATTGAGACCGATGCCTCCTTGCCTTTGCCCTCCTTTCCGAGGTGCTAAATACAGTGCTTCTCCACCAGCGTGCCCCGGACCATCTTTGAATGCATGCTGCATGCTCATGTTGGTTGTTGATGTATTTTGGATTGCGAAGGGTTCAAAATACCAGCGCCCAAAAGGCAAAAAGGGCTTGGGCAAAAAAGTGATTCGTCAGTCGACAAGTCCACCTCCTGCTTCATTACCATCGTCTTTGTTGGGTATCCTCAGGTTGGTTTCCATTGTGACAGGACAAAGGGTTGTCACCCTGCTCGAATATCATGATGGTGTGCTTGATGAGACAAGCCGGTCAGCTCAGTGCAAAGGGAGAGATGCGACGAGTGAGAACTGCTTCAGGAATGGATTCATGCTGCATCATGAGGACAAGGCAACGAATGAGCCCTGCTAAATCATTGAAGCCCATCACCAGCCTGACTGGCTGCAGCCACCCAAACGGGCGACGGCAAGTTGACCCAACAGACGTAAAAAGCTCTCGTCCAAGTGTTGCATTGATACAGTGCCGGCTTACAATGACCAAGTCGTCGCCGTTCACCTTTAATGTTTGCTCTCTATGGTAACATACACAAGTCACTAAAAGCAGGTGTAAGCGCCTCATCTCAGATCATGCTGCATGAGTTCGTGGGCTGCCGCCAATCCGCGAGCTAAGCCTGCGGATTTCATCCCAAGTGTTGTTGGCCCTCAGGCCCAAATGGATTGACAACAAAAAATTGAAATGATTGTGCCACGGGTCCATCGCGGCAGCCGACTACTAGTACGGCTAGGGGACAGCCGTCATCTTGAAAAGTGAGTGGTTGAGACTTATGTACCAACGCCTCGCGGCTTGAACTTCAGCCAAGGCTGATGGCCAAATTCGTCCCTATCCATGAGGGTTGGTCTTAGTAATTGGCATCGCCGCACAACCCGGTACTTATTGGTTTCAGCTGCCGAAATAGTGCAGAAGTAGTTTCCGACTTCAGCAGAAAAGACCATGGAGGCATGTCATTTCGACATGGTAAAATCCCGCCCGATCCGCCAAATGTCGTATCAGGCTTGGCATTCTGCAAGCCCTTGGGCCTCCCCCTAAAACTGTGGGTACCGTGATTACGTCGCCGACGGTGACAAACAGGAAAGAGTATCAGGACGTTGATTGAGGCGTAAATGGTATCTGAGCCTCGACTGGGTTCCGGTAATCTCGTTCCCACTTGTGCCTGGAGCCGGCGCCTTTCAGGGGCTTTGTACGTTGAACCCCGACTGTTTTCGTGGACTTTTGGCAATGCGAAGCTTTGGGCTCAATAATGAACGCCATCCATCCATATCGGATCCTGGCAATAAGTGGCCTGATAATATTGAGGCCGACTGGTGACGGCATGATGTTCGCCGCATGCGGACCCACGAACTCTCATCCAGCTAAATCTGGCTTGTCTCATCGACGATGTTGTGCTCTGTGAGATGCAGCGGCGATTCCGGGGAATTTGTTGATCTATTCATGCGGTCTTTTAACATGCATTTATACGTCGTCGTCGTCGTCGTCGTCGTCGCCGCATGGCAGAGGGTTGATGCAATATTCTGAAATGTCGACTGGTCCTTCATCGCGAACCCGCAACGCGACCAAGGCAGGTGTGTGCACCTCGATTGCAGGGAAAGAGCGAGTCAAGACGTTCTGAACCGGTGACGTCAGCCGTCGTCAATTACGGTCTTATCGATCCCATGTTCCACCACCTGATCTGTAGCAGCCAACACAGGTCTGATCCTGAATCTGAAATCTTTCCTCAGCTCTCCATCTAGTCTCCCATCTTCGGCCGAATTTTTTGCGTCACCGACAGAGCACTCTCCAGCAGGATCCGATGGGTCAGGGGTCGAGTCCCTCCTTTCAGGCCCCAAAGTCTGACTTTACGTGGCGTGAACTGCGCAGCCTCAGCAGCCAATAAATGATGCCGTCCCTTCCCAATAAGCAGCAAAGTTCGGCGATCCTGCATTGGCCAACGGGAAGCTGCATGGACCCCTTCGCATTGCCGCCACCAATGGTCCGATTGGTGGCTATGTTGAGCCAGCGTGACGAGAAACCAAAAATTTAGCTTTTGACGCGCTGGAGCCCTCCAAACGGGGGCATTTGCGCCGACGCACAACGGCGTCGCGGAAGAAGCCGACTGCTATCGCTATCAGGGGTCGTCTGCACCGTCTGCATCCTCCAAAGCTACCCGGTAGCCAGATGACGCAGGGCAAAAGATGGAGCGACTGCCAAGGCAATTGGGTATGCCAGCAGCTGAAGCCTCTTGTGCCCGACGGGCTGATTTGCAGAACATGCCATACTAGCCGAATAGTACAGCATGGTAAATAATGCCATATTGACTATATTGACCGCAGAAGTTGCATGAGAATATCGATCACAACGCGGAGAGGGCAGATACAGGTTTCACCACGACAATATTGTTGATTCATGCTCTCAACTCCTCTACTAACCAGCAGCCTCACCCCATCGAGCCCGAGTGTAGCACCAGGAGAGCTCGCGCTGCGGTACAACACGAAACTTCCCAGCTTAGCCGGTCCATCTTTGTGCAGGATGCCTTGTCAAGAAATACATTCCACCCAAAGCAAAATTTCTCAACCACATCTCCAACCCCCTGTCTACTCCGAGGTCTTCAAGAATAAGCTAGGTCCCTTCTTCAACCGCACCGGTAGCCACAAAGATGTACAATCCATAGTCACGTCATTCCTCAGATAATGACGGTAGGAGTGACTTGAGATGCCCGTTAGCTTGGAATGTTCTGATGGGCCAGTAGACAAGGGAAACGGGACTCACCAGTGCTCGCAACGACAGATTGGATCTGAGGGACCAGAGCAACATCAATGATGCTGCCAATGTCAAAGGCACCGATGCCGTTGATCAGGCCCAGGTTGAGGGCGCCCAGGTTGAGTCCTGCAAGGTCAAACTGGTTGAAGACGCCAGTCTGTGCGATGGCCAGAACAGTCTGCAGCTGCTGGAACTGGAGCAGGGCATTGATGTTGAAGGTGCCGACGTTGAAGAGGTCCTGGAAGGCAAAGACGTTGAAGTTGTTCTGAAGAGCCAGGCGCTGAAGAAGATCAAAGTTGAGGGACTGCCGGTTCAGCGAGAAGAGATAGCTCAGATCCTGCTGCTTGAAGTTGAGGTTGTTGACGCGCTTGGCGTCAAATGCACCGCGCTCAACGACGGGGAGAGCAACCGAAGTGTCTGCTTGGACTTCGGCTTCGGCGACGGGGGCCGGGGCCGGGGCGGCGGCGACAAGGGCGGCGAAAGTGCCGGCGAGAACGGTAGACAGCTTCATGGTGAATGGAGGTTGAAGAAGAATTAAGTGTACTAAGTGTAAATGCTTGTTTGCAAGACCGAAACGGAGCACAGCTCAAGTGTTCGGGTTGTATAGTAATAAAGGATGGAAACGAACAGCGAGCACAGCTGCAGCATGGTTGTTAGTTGGAAAAGCACTATTCTCATATACATAACTCGGGTTTCGGAGACTGTACCTCTGGAAATGAATGTATAGGAAAGTAGTTGAAGAATGTTTTGAAATGAATGGGTTGGTGAGTAGAGCAGAGGCCTGATCCAAGACGAACCATCCAAGGCATTATATACCAAGAGGCCATCAAGACGCAACTCTCCCCCATCATCCCCATCATCACTATTGCACCGCATCTCAGAACGCCCCAAGGCAGGCAGCCAAGCACGCTAACCCGGCAAATGTCCATCCCGACCTCACCTCCTCGGCACCCACGTCCATCCGGACTGGTGTTCTTTGTCCAAACACAGAAAGGGCATCATCCCAACGTCTTCGGATGGCTGCGCCTCCGGCAGAGTACACCACAACAGACTGAAAGAAAAAAGGTCAAGATGCCAAGACTATTAGGCTGTATCGTTGCAGAAGACGGGCCCGGCTTCAGATGACGGAGTTTTAACACTCTGCGCCGGTAGCGTTTTGTGGCAGTCGATCAGACGAAGGCGCCTTGGCTGGTATATGCGGTCCACACAATAAAGAACAAAAAAGGACCGCGTGCTGTTCTAGTTCGGATCATTCCGTCACAAAGTGCTGCCAACACACTTTCCTCCGACAGGAACGTTTGAGGGGGGGGAACCTAGATTGGATGCCAGGGGGTAGTTTGTTTTGGGGTTGGGCTGAAGAACAGGTAAAAAGGGACGATATTGCGTCTGATGTGGGCTGCGGGGGGTTGGAGATGAGGCCGCCTTGTGAGACGAGTACTGGAGACGTTGTGTGTCTGAAGTGTGCGCGTTTGCATTGACGCCACGCATTGGGGAAACGCATCGTGACGAGGCTGGGGTCGATTTGAAATGACGACGATTATAGCTGCCACCTGAGATTTCGGTAGCTGCATGGCCAACGAAAGGGGCGCTGGCGTTGCGCGTGAGCAGGACATGTGTAGAATAGGATTTTGGCTCGTTTACATGTCTAGCTGCAGATTTCGGGAGTTGGCAGTCCATCTTGCCAACAACTTAAGCTCCGAGCTAGTCGGCACACCGCACGTACTGAGCCCTCACGGCGGCACGTTGGAAGAGTTGAAAAAACCAAGAGATGAGAATACATGGCACATGCCCCGCAGATAGCCCAACTCTATGGCTGATGAACAAGACATCAATGTTTCTTGCCATGTACACAAAGGCTCCACCGCTTGATACCCGTCCCGACTGCCTTGTAGCTTCATTGCGTGTATGACAGGGTATTAGTAAAGGAGCATCTTGCTGGGAAGCCCAGCAGCACTGTCGAATAGAAGGACGGATGTTTCTGATTTGCACCCCGTGCGCTCCTCACAGAAGCAACATGGCTCCGCCAGTGGCTGCAGCAACACCGGCCGGGCCAAGATTGCGAGGAACCATGGCACCGGCCGCGTTGGCCGCAGTAGCACTGGTCGTCGAAGCAGACGTGGAACCAGATCTTGTAGCCAACGAGGCGCGAGATGCGCCAGCACTCCCCGTCGCCGCGGGCACATTTCCAGTCTGCGTCGCCCCGGGGGCCGGCGACAACTTGTCGGCACCGGCAGTCACGACAAGAGGAGCCACCATGTCCTTGTACGGCGGGATGGCGTCTTTGCCCTGCGACATGTACGATGAGGACCCGACAGCCACCCCAGCCTTGCTGTCGCACTCTCCGCGATTCTGGTCGGGGTTAAGCTCGCACGAGATCTCGTGAGACCTGTCAAAGAAGCGGTTATTCAGCCTGGCCAAGGTTTCTTGCAAGAAGAAACACTCACCAGACGGCGGACTGAGGTTGAAAACGAGTGAAGTTAGTCGAGACAAAAAGAAGAAAGGAAATGCTGATTCTATTGCTGTTAATAAATACCCTGTGGAGGGTGTTGCTATTGCCATCCTGCCTCTTACATGGCCCAACTTGGATACGGCCGAAAGGAAAACCGGGCTACAAGGGGCGGCGGCGGCACTTTTACCATGAGCCAAGATTCGCGGCAGTCCGTCATGCGTGACAGTAATTTACCAAATTCCATATCCTTCTGCCATTGTCCAATCGCAAGTTGAGCATGTTCATACAGCACCGTCACGGTTCCCCCCTCCGTCTAAGGGGAGCCCAGCATGTGGAAAAGTTCAACAAGACTCGGGGCAGTGCAAAGCGAGAGCAAACCAGACCCCTTCTCGCTTTACATTCCCCCACGTCGTAGTAGAATGAGCACGTGTAAGTGTAGCTCGACTTGCTGATTGGGATTACAGCGTTGCCCCCGATGGGATAACCCCTGACGGGAACCTGACGGGATATAGCACGAAACTGCACATCGCAGTAGTTGACCTGTAGACCGCGACCGCCGACATGTCCTTCTCTGTCTGCAATGACCAGACCCCTTTCAAACCCTCATCTACTTGATAATGGGGCTACCGGTTTGAAAACCGGCGCAGCAAACGGCCGTGACAAACCTAGAAAAACTTTGAGTGATTATACAATTCGTAGCAACGGGTCTTTCATTTTCCTTCATGAATTTGGCATTTGAATAGCTCTGGTTTCTGTAGCGGGCATCGCGAAATAATATTCATCCCTTCTCCATCACCCATTGTGAGTCAGACCTTTCCATTCTCAGACTAAATTTCTCTGCTTTTTAGTCTTGTCCTAGTCTCAAATATACCATGCCTTGTATCCCAATTTCTTACCCCAAATCCCCACCTTGATCCCTAAAACACGTAAAGTTCATCGCTCTTCAACTGGGGCAGCGAATTTATTCAACATCGCGCTTGAGAATAGCTGCTAATTGTTAGCTAGCTGCGATGATTTGCGTCTATTACGGTAGATAAAACTTACCGACGTTGAGACCGCTGTTTGAGAATCCATTGCTGAGGACAGTAATAACCTGTTGTCTGGGAACAACACCAGACAGAGCAAGGCCCTGCACCACCTGAAGCTGGTTGAGCACAACAATCTGGTTGGCAAAGTTCAGGCCCGAGATAGCCTGAAGGTTGATATTTTGACCAATTCCCATTTGGTTGATGATGGCTGTGATGGAAGGGGTCAAGACGTTTTGGAAAAGACTGCCCTGAAGAAGGCCGTTCTGAATAATTTGGTTGATATCATTGTTCCTGTTTCCATTGTTGTTGTTGTTGTTGTTGCCGTTGTTCTGGTCCTTGTTATTGTTGTTGTTGTTGCCGTTGCCCTTGTTGTTGTTCTGGTCCTTGTTATTGTTGTTATTGTTGTTGTTGTTTTTGTTGTTATTTTGGTCCTTGTTGTTGTTGTTATTGTTTTGGTTCTCGTTATTATTCTGGTCCTTGTTGTTGTTGTTCTGGCCCTTGTTGTTATTATTGTTGTTGTTCTGGCCCTTGTTATTGTTGTCCTTGTTCTGGTCCTTGTTCTGGTCCTTGTTCTGGTCCTTGTTCTGGTCCTGGTTTTGGTCCTTGTTCTGGTCCTGGTTATTTTGTGTTTGGGCAGGAGCTTCAGCGGCAGCAGTTGTAGATGCGGCGGCGGGAGCGGCGGTAGGAGATGGGCGTTCGCCTTCAGCCGCCTCCTCTCTCGCCATCAACTCTACAAGGCTCAAGCCTCGCTTCTCCAGATCCTCCTCGACGATGCTATCAACACCGGGAAGGGGTTGGAGAGCCGCTCGCTCAGCCAGCTGAACAGGAACAGCCACAGCGGACACCAGGCCGGCCGTGAAGAGAAGGACAGAAACAGACTTCATTATGTCGGTACTAAAGTGAAGGGAATGTTTTTTTAAGGGTAAAAGAGGGTTGGAAATAATTATGTGTCAAATGAAACAGAAGTAGAGCGCAGCTCTTGAAGGAAAGTGATAAAAGGAGAGGAAGGAAAACGAAGGCCTCGAGTGTGTAAATCTTTGCAGATGATGACCAGAATTAAATCCTCCCAACTGATGCGGGAGAGGCACCTCATGATATATAGTCGACGGCCATTGCCCTGAGCTCCGTTTGAGTTTGCTGGGAATCAAGCCTAGAACATGGACCGGTACGAATTACTGTCGATATAGCGGAGCAGAAACGTCAGAAGCTCTCCAGGGACAGAAAGCATCCTTTAGCGGGCCTTGGTATCGTTCCACCATGATCTTGATGATTCACCTCTGACACCGGCTTATGCACTTCCTTTGAGATCTCCGGCATCATTCATGCTCAAGCAGGTACAGCATCAAAAGACTCTACGCCACTGGCAGCTGGTGCAATGCACAACGGAGCATACCAGTCCCGACAGGTGGTGGCTGCTTGGATCGGTAAGGGCTAGGGCGGCATCAGACGATATAGGGCGACGCCTTCTGATTTCAGACGTCAGAGAAACCAGGGTCAACAGAGACAATTCCAAAAAGTCGAGAAAGATGTCAGGCAATTTGAGACTTCTCATTGGTAACGTGGTCCCAGGTCAAGACACCATCGATGGGATTGGAGGAATGGATAATATGCTCAATGCCAAGCATCACTAGGATGCTAGACAAGAGTCTGAAAGCTGTTGCAAGGGGGGTCACATGGTGTAACGCCATTCGTGGATGAGGCCATACTATCTGGCAGTGCAGACGGGCAGGGGCGTTTGCGAGAGAGTAGGCGGTGTCATGAGGGTTTGGGACGGAACCAGGCTGAAGTTTTGAGTTGAGAAGCCGAGGCGTGGAGTCTGAATCTAGGTAGTAGTACTCGCAAGGTGCTGGGTGTGGCACTAATTTAGAATAAAAGGAACCAGACTACTCCCTATCTGTAGGCGGGGCGAGAAACTCGCGGGGAAGGAAGGACCGGTCCTGGATGGCCCCTGGTTTGTCCACAGCGTCTCAGACGTCAGATCGTCCGGTATCCAGTATTGCCGACAGTCTCGGCTCTTGGCCCGACGTGCTGGTTGGCCATGTCTCTGTTTTCCTTACGCAACGGCAGAGACTCAAAAATAAGTTGGCCCGGGTATTCCGTTTCCAAAAGACGCTTTGAAAGGAGGCAGCGGCGTCTTGTACCCAGCCACCCACCTTACTCCTCGAAACAGCTCATGGATTCTTCGTCCAAAGACACTCATGCAGATACGGACTCATCAACGCCTTGTCCTACGATTGATGTTATTGCTTGTCCTAAAAAAGTCCCCACGATCAGACTAGAGTCTGTAGGCCAAACGCTCATCATTTTGGAGTTCAGTATCGATCTCATGGCCTGCCGGTTAGGGCAATCGCCGCGTCCCAATTCCATGCTCTAAATACAACCATTTCGGATCATGTTAGATCATCCTGCACAGGCCACAGCATCTGTCAAGCATATATGGTCCCCTGATAAAAGCAGATTCTAGCAGAGCATAGCCGCGTAGGCAGAGGAAGCTACCCAGGCAGCCACATGCCTATTTGATAGAAGCAGTCCCGGCGCCAGACTTGCAAGGTATGGAGACAAGTCACCAACCCAACCAGGCCTCACAATAAACAGTCGCGGGTATATGGTGTCTCATTTTGTCCCATGTATTATTATTTTTACAAGTATCTGTCGTACACGTCATCGTCCCATCCGCTTCCCGCCCTGTACATCGTCGCCTTTATGGAACCCTAGCCACTCGCCCAACAAACCTCCCGGTTTCGGCACAGGGCATTCCCTCCTGGTTCGTTCTGATGTAGAGTCGGTATAGTCTTCCGTCATCTGATTAAATTGTACAATTCCATCCCGCGACTCGGCGGCCTCTCGTCGTCTCCACCTCCTCCGTCTGCCGTTCTCGTCTACAACTACTTCACCATCGGCGTACTTGGTTCGGGGCACTGGGCACGGTAGTAAGTGCGGCAGTGCAACGACGAAGAAACTGGCAACGAGCGTTGTTGCGAAGAGTGATGAGGTCATTCGCGACCTGGGGTGAAGATGGGGTGGCATGATCCCTCGGTGTTGTGTCTGACCTCCTCATCAAAGGACCATCGATGGGTTCGATTGGAAGGTTAGCGCAGAGATTGGTGCCCGATTGTAGCCCGGCTACTCACATAATAATTGGAACATATTCTAGCCGCGGCAGCAGTTGCGTAGACGGCGAAGAGCGACGGCCAAAGTTGACAATTGGCGTCGTTGGGTGACTTCGCAAGGTCTCTGCGTTGCGCCGCCAACAAAAAAAGGCGCCTCCGGAGTACTCATGTGTTGATCCGGGTCCTGTACGACTTGATGATTCCGAGGCTGCCTATTGGCTGGGACTCCTTGTACAATAGCCGGAGTCGGCGAAATGTAAATCCGCTCAACATATCCACCATCCCTGCCACTCTATCGTGGAGAATCTTGTTCGGTACGCACCACAAAACGGCTGAACCCACTGCCACCCGAGATTGGTTGAAGTGCTACATCTGGCCCGGCGTCACCTTGAACATCAACTCGCGCCTCTTTCGTACATACGCCTTCAACTACCACGACATCGCGGCCGCTAGCGATCAAACACAGCAGCAATATTTCTAGCATATACTCACGACTGAACATGATAATTGTATCCTGAGCCGAGCTTGCAATCGACCGCGGCGCCTCACGCGCGACCCGAGGTCACCATCATGAGCGATCTCGACAAGTGAATTGCGCCCCGTCACCGAATCATGCCGCCTTGACGGACACTGACATTGATGGACTAGGGCTATCGCGCAGCTGCGTGCTTGTCGACCCATTCCAGAGGCCCAAGTGCGAGAGCTGTGCCACCGCGCACGAGAGCTTCTGATTGAGGAGGGCAACGTGGTGACGGTATCGGCGCCAGTCACAGTATGAAGATCAAGCCTCCTTCCTGGCGGTCGGTAGCCAAAGCTAACATTGGGGCTAGATTTGTGGCGACATTCACGGTCAGTTTCACGATTTGATGGAACTATTCCGAGTTGGCGGAGATGTTCCTGATACGAATTATTTATTCATGGGTAAATGCCACACAACCCTGCCCCATGCTCTACTGTTTCGTACACGTTACTAACGCCACGTTTAGGCGACTTTGTGGACCGAGGCTTCTATTCTCTTGAATCATTTCTTCTTCTTCTATGCTTAAAAGTACGATACCCCGACCGCATGACGCTTATCCGCGGCAACCATGAGTCCCGTCAAATCACCACAGTATATGGCTTCTACGATGAATGCCTGCGGAAATATGGAAGCGCAAACGTATGGCGATATTGCTGCGATGTGTTCGACTATCTGGCCCTCGGAGCCATTGTCCTGGGCGCATCCAACACACTGTCCCCCGCATCAGGACCAGTTGACGAAGAGACCGAGATTGAAGTGTGCGACCAGAACGGCTCCATCATGAGTCGGTTCCCTCGCCAGCGCCAGCAGTCTTCTCGGCCCAGCAGTTCCCAGGAACAAGGCGCAAACGGCAGCGGTCCCGCGGGGCAGACCGGACCTCCCGGCTCAGGCGCCTCGGGCTCCAGCAATGGCAGCGTGGGCAACCCAGCCGGAGCAGTGCTCTGCGTCCATGGCGGCCTAAGCCCCCTGATTGATACAGTCGATAAGATCCGCCTGATCGATCGGAAGCAAGAGGTCCCCCACGAGGGCGCCATGTGTGACCTGCTGTGGTCCGACCCCGACGATATCGATGGCTGGGGACTATCACCGCGCGGTGCAGGATTCCTCTTTGGCGCTGATATTGTCAAGGTATTCAACCACCGAAACGACCTGAGCCTCATTGCTCGCGCACATCAACTCGTCATGGAGGGCTTCAAGGAAATGTTCGACGCCTCGATTGTGACGGTCTGGTCGGCTCCGAATTACTGCTACCGCTGTGGCAACGTTGCTGCCGTCCTGGAGCTAACCGAAGACGAGTCTGGCACGGGCGTCTTCTCCCGCAGCAACGGTGAGGTGAACAGGAGTGATGGCGGGCGAGGGGTAATGATGGAGTCGAATGGGATGATGAAGAGCGGTCCTGCAAGACGGTATCGTGTGTTCCAGGCAGCACCGCAAGACTCACGGGGTATGCCCGCTAAGAAGCCCGTCGCAGATTACTTCTTATAGAGGGACTGCATAGGCGGGGGATTCCCCCCCCCCCCCCCCCATCTCTCCTCTTTT